GAGAAAATTTTCCTACAGATCCCACTGCTCTCTGGAGAACATTTCGCTGGGAGAGTTTGGGGTGTACGAGGTTACAGTGTCCACCGCTGCCTGCTCGATCTCCACCCACAAGGAACCTGTCTTCATTTATGGCGGTGAGTTGTTACGTCTTAACCAGCCATTGGAAATGGCTTTTGGGCCATTCCCAGCCATTGGGAATGGCTTTTGGGCCATTGGGAATGGCTTTTAAATAGTCTACATTAAATTTATTTGAGTTCAAATTTAAACTTTTTTGAAATACTTTCATTGCAAGTCACAATGTAATATTGGATGGAATCTATGTAGAACTCTTCCTTTCTAGTTAGTTGGGCATGGAACAGTAAAACTATTTTAACTATTCCTATTTTGGGGGATATAAGCCTCGATCAGTAATCGCTTTGAATGTGGAAACCAAATTTCACGTCACTCTGCCGCCGAGAATAACCTTCACAGTGAAATTTTCAGGGTCAAACCCAATTAAGCCACTGCCTCTGATATACTTTTTTCTTTGCAATCATCTCACTTGCGTAACATTAAGAACCATTTGGCTCTTCATCTCTATCTTTCAATTGCTTTAAAAATCTCTATAAAATGACAGCATGACCTCTAAGCAAAGGTAAACATGACTAATTAGTAACGGCAATGAAAAAAACAGAGGTAAAATTGACTTAATTATCATTATTTTCAGAAGTTTTCAAATAAATATTCATTAATGCAAGATTCTCATTAATTATACTTTAACCCCCGTAAGCCAGGCATGATCATCGCGTGTGCGGTGTACGTGGTGCTGATGTTGCTGGTGACGCTCGTGCCGGCGCTGGTGCGGCGAGTGCAGCACTCGGGGCTGGCGACATGTTGCCGTATGAACGACTCGACTGTGAGTGTTGCCGTATGAACGACTCGACCGTGAGTGTTGCCGTATGAACGACTCGTACCGTATGAACGACTCGTATGAACGACTCGTACCGTATGAACGATACGTGAACGCGACGTACTTCGATCCTGCCAACACAAACTACAATCAGTCGTGAGCTCTAATTTATTTTAGTCTCAAGTTTGTTTTATAATAATGAAGTTAAGTACATGTTAACATCATTATAGTAATCAGATTGTGAAGTATTGGTGTGAGTTAAGATGTCTGTATGTTAGTTAAATGCCATCAGAATCGTTCATATATTATTGTTAGGTATGTAAGCACATAAATAATTGGTATAAGTCGATTGCATGCTGAATTATATTAAATGCGCTCTCTGAACGGTGCAAGTCGCGCGACTGTGATGCATTCTATGTACTGTGGTGACCGATAAATGTTCATCTGTCACACTAATGTTCCCCGTCAATATAGCCAGAGCTGGGCAGCGCTACTTTGAAATGTAGCAGCCGCTACCGCTACCGCTACATGCTCTAAATGTAGCGGGCGCTACCGCTATAATTGCTTAAATGTAGCGCCGCTACCGCTACCGCTACATTTATCGCGCTACTGCCCTCCTCTGTGTATGTATCATGCTGGTTTTTAAATAATATTTAATACTATTAAGTAAAATCTAAAGGCTTTATCTATAAATGTAGCGATAGCACTGTAGCGGCAAAACTTCGTATCGCTACTTAAATATGTAGCGGGCGCTACCGCTACCACTACAATTGCTTGAATGTAGCGCCGCTACCGCTACATGTAGCGCGCTACTGCCCACCTCTGATATATAGCACATATTCGCCCGTTATACATCATCATTCGTGACAGGTTGTTGGAAACCACTCATTACTGCGTCGCGAATTGCATGAGAACAAATGTAAAATATACTGGGAATAAGTATATCAGAAGATGATTTTTTGGTGCGAAAAGCCTAACATCAAATAGTCGCAAGATTACTCTTAAGAGAAAATTTTCCTACAGATCCCACTGCTCTCTGGAGAACATTTCGCTGGGAGAGTTTGGGGTGTACGAGGTTACTATGAACGACTCGACATGTTGCCGCATGGACGACTCGACCGTGAGTGTTGCCAGGGTTGAATTAATATTTCAACCGTGAGTGTAGCCCTGCATCTTGGCACACGACACTTTCTTGTTGACTTTTGTTAGGGAATAGTGTCAATATATATAAATAAGCGATTATCATTTTTGTAGTAACAATTATTTAATGCTAATTTTAGAGTTTTTTCCGTTCCGCTAATTTGGTTTTCATTATTTTCGATATTAAATTCATTTATATTTCAAGTTTCGTGCTGGTAAGGACTAAAACATGGCAACGCACTTGCACAGTTAACAATGACGGAAGCCTTTGCCTAACAGCGCTTAAGACAGAGGCGTAGTCCCCATCACCCTCCCTAGGGAGGGACTAGGTCCACTAATAAATAACCCAATTGGATATAGAGCGACATTTTGAACTAGATTAGGCAATTATAAATTAACTGAGCTAAAAATACCTCGATTGCACTACAGTGACATCCCTAACGCTCCCGGACGCCTTTGCATAACGTTTTAAATATTGACGATCATTGCAGTAAGAAACCTGAACGATGGAAATGGCACACTTTTTTCACTGACATCTGTAATTCTGTTTTTTTCTGGTAGATCTTATGTTCACTTGCAGTGGGCCATCTATTAAGAGCAACCGATTCGAAGAATGAGCACAACATAATTTCAGATATGTCACTTACAAAGAAAAAAATAATTCAGTACTCACTGCAGTGAGTGACAGAGAGCGCATTTTCTCGTCGACGAAAACTTGAAGTCACGGACGGACGGACGGACGGACATGGCAAGCCCAATAATGCATTTTTCCATAAATGAGAAAATGCGCTAAAAATATCATAAGTAGGGAGTTCGAAATAGTCCTTATCGACATGGGCGGTCGAAACATTCATGTTAACTATGTGCATACACCTGCGTATAAATATAATTTAATTTAACTTCGTGCCTGGGGCTGCTGAGTGACGATGTATTTACCAAGTGTTGAGCAATGTGGAGAATTCTTGGACGATCAAGGGCCATACTTTCAAAACTCGCTAAGTGAACGTAAGTACTTACGCTCCACTTTCTTGTCTCTGATTGGTGGATTTTGCTTGAAAGGCCGTCAATGATTGGCTGATGAACTTACGATCTCTCAACTTTTTTTGAAAGTATATGCCCTGGTGCCAGTAAATGTCGGATAATCGTTGGTGTTCCTGCGGACAGGAGGATATTGACTTGTCCGTGCAGGACAGAGGAGGGAAGAGCGCGCCGAAGAAAGCGAGGGTAAAGGCCCTCGACACGTTCCGAGGGTGAGTGCATGTAATTATTTAAAGTATTGGTATCAATTTATCGTAATACATTTTAATATTGAATACATTCTGATATTGGCATCGATGTAACATCTGCTCCACCTTTGTTTATAGCCTGGAAATATAAACGTACGACTGTCCCATTTCACGAGAAAAAAAAATCCAGACATATTAAAAACGATTCTTTGAAATTTCAACCAGTTAAATTTTCATCATGGAAATGGAGATCTTGCAAACGTTACCGCCCATAACTCTCCTCACTCTCAAAATAATTTTTTAACTTTCCGTTATCTTTCAAAAATGTGAGGACTCACTTCAGTGCTATTGTGTTTACCACTGAGATTCTTGTTTGCTAATTTTGCAAATGATAATTGAAAGTTCGATTCAACATTCATATTTTAAGTCATTAATTGGCGAAACTATTTGTTTCATAAATCACTCAATATCATACTCATAATATTCCTCTCCCCCAGGCTCAGTATCGTGCTCATGATCTTCGTCAACTATGGGGGCGGTCATTATTGGTTCTTCGACCACGCGACGTGGGACGGGCTGCTGCTGGCGGACCTCGTCTTCCCCTGGTATTTATTCAAGCCCCAGTCCGCAGCTGGCGAACAAAACATATTAAAACTTTTAGGTTCTTGCCTCAATATATTTAGGTCCATCTGATAATACCATTAAACATTTTTGCGGCTATTTTTCAGCGATTTGAAATTTTTCGATAATTTATGCAGGAATATGAATTACAATATTATGATTCGTTCGACAGAGGGTCGCTCCCCTTCGTTCCCTTGATTGCCTAAACTAACAATTATAATAAAATTTATTATATTTTAGATCTTCGGAAAATTGGGATAGTTATAATATACAACTGCAAAGTTTCAGTGAAACATTTCCATTGAGGCCCACGATTTTTCGATTCATCTGGTCCTGGTCCATGAAAATAAGGCTTATGAAGGCTGAAAATAAGGTTAATAAAGCTGAAAATAAGGTTAATTATAGCTGAAAATAAGGTTAATTATAGCTGTAAATAAGGCTAATTATGGCTGTAAATCAGGCTTATTAAGGCTGCAAATAAGGCTTCTTAAAGCTGAAAATAAGGCTTATTAAGGCTGCAAATAAGGCTTATTAAGGCTGCAAATAAGGCTTATTAACGTCTCTATTCGTACAGGTTCATGTGGATCATGGGCGTGTGCATCCCCATGGGGGTGAGGTCGGGGGCCAAGCGTGGGGTGCCCAAACACAAGATGATCTTCAAGATTTACAAGGTGATCTTGGTACAAGCGGCATGCTGAGCATAATTAAAAACAAAAATTTCTCTGCTTTAAATTTGACAGTGATTGAGAAAAAGCTCCAATTCGCATATATTTTGAATTTTTATTGTTCGAGGTCTTTGCCCTATAAATCATGTTCAAGCATCAAATTCAATGTAGGATCTTATATAGTGTTGTTCAGATGCTTTGGCAGTGGATCAGATCACGTCAATAACAAAAAATATAACTCAGTACTCACTGCAGTGAGTGACAGAGAGCACATTTTCTGGTCGACGAGAACTTGAGGTCATGGACAGACGGACGGACAGACGGACAGACAGACAGACAGACAGACGGACGGACGGACATGGCGAGCACTATAGTGCATTTTTTCCATAAATGAGAAAATGCGCTAAAAATATATCCTTGCGCAGATTTTCGAACTTGAATTAACCGATCCTCGATTAGCGTTTATTTAGATCTGGATCAACACTAACAGGTTCAGTATTGCCTAAGATTTGAGGAAATATATCGCAGCCACCACTTGAACAATATTAAATCCTATTCCATCGTCCACCACCCTCAAAGAATAGCGATACATTTCTTGACCTCAGATTAAATTTTTATTTCTCATTACAAGATATTCACTGATTATTTCACCTTATATTTAATTTGTATTTTATTATCACCTAAGTTTCACTGAATCATTTCTCATTTTCGACATAAATTCACTAATTATTCATCATACCTGAATTTATAGCGACCGGATATTGCCTTAGTCTACAGTTAACTTGACATGTTGGTCTAGGGCAGCAGGTCCTGAAGTCTGGGCACTGGGCAGCATTCTAAACTCCCTGTGCGGGTTGCTGACGTTCTCCCAGTACCGCATGCTATCATCTTTTTTATCATCGACTTAGATTCACTGATTGTTTCTTATGATCTACTTAGATTCACTCGTTGTTTCTTATCATCTACTTAGATTCACTAATCATTCACTATACTCCACCATACAGAGGTCCCTAAAGCTCTTCGCCCTGGGCATCATTCTGAACTCGCTGGGCGGGTGGGTGACGCTGGCCCAGTACCGCGTCCCTGGCGTGCTGCAGCGCTTCGCTGTAGCTTACCTCGTCGTCGCCTCCGTCATGGTCCTATGTCCGGAGCCGGCCGCCTTGCAGGTGCAAATTATAGATCTCGTTAACAAAAACCTAGGACTCGTTAACAAAAACCTGGGACTCGTTAACAAAAACCTGGGACTCGTTAACAAAAACCTAGGACTCGTTAACAAAAACCTAGGACTCGTTAACAAAAACCTGGGACTCGTTAACAAAAACCTAAGAGACCAAATATATGTAATCAAAAAGTAAATAAATAAAAATAAATTGGTGACAGGCCTATGCGGGTCTATTCTTCAACGCCGAAGAGACTATACTATACTAACTGCTTTTGTTAACTTGTGCGATTTAAGAGAATTAAGTTTGCTCAGTTGTTTAAATCTAGTCAATTATTCATTGGAACTTGATACGATTTAATATTTTTTAAGTTTGTCCATAGTTTCGATGAGGTATATTATCATCCCATTGTAAATGATTTGCAATACGAGAATTTTTCCTGTGGTGAATAGAGTTAATTAAAGATATGCTTGCGCCATCAGTTTAGTTTCATCATCTATCACTTCTTTTGAGGTCCTATATCAGTCTTTATATATTTCAGAACAAATGCGGTGAGGCCATGAGTGACGTAGTAAGTCTCTCTTACCAGTGGGTTATATACATCCTGTTTGTCCTCGTCCACACGGCACTCATCTTCTTCTTGCCGGTGCCTCAATGCCCGACGTAAGCTTCCCTGCACTATTAGTTTTCAGCACTTATTTCAATCAAGATGTTTCTTAAAATCCTGAATTTCAGTCCTCCTATAAATCAATGAGACATCAACAACCTAATAAATCATATTTCTATTTGGTCTTATTTTAAATGTCGTTATCACTCTTTATTCGTGTTCTATACATTTGCGATTTAAAAAAATGATCATGAATCTACTCGGTTCAATTTTTTATACAGTAAAGAAAATGTAAAATTTATAGTTCCAAATTTTCTTTCGAATTCTCGCTGTTTCGCTCGTTCAATCGTTGTTGGAATAGAATAGAATAGAAGTGTCGGCATACCGTATATATAGACCATGGGCCTATCTATAAGTTATAACATATACTAAGCCTATCATATTAAGCCTATATATAGGCTTAATATGATATTTAATTTCACGGCTCACCATTTCAACTCCTTAATTCAGAGGATATCTTGGCCCTGGAGGCTTAAGCCTCATGGATAGCGATGGTAGCCCGCGGCCTGATTGTATTGGGGGAGCCACGGGCTACGTGGACCGCTGGCTGCTGGGGGTGGCCCACATCTACCAGAACCCCACAGCCAAAACTGTCTATCACTCGGGGCCTTTTGATCCTGAAGGCGTTCTCGGTAAGAGATTTTTTTTACCTCGATTAAACGTTGAAAAATTACTAAAATCTTATTTGTCGGATAGAATTTTTTAGGTATAGAATGATTTTGATTCGATTTTGGCTAAAGCCCTTATGTCGTATAGTTCAGTTTTACTGATAAAGGCTCCTCGCTCCTTGGCTCATAAAGCTGAGTTGTCTCAGTTGTTATAACAACAGGCGGGAGAGAGTGTCTGTCATCAAGCTTGACATCATAATGGAATTCACAAATCTGTTCGAGAGAAATACGCACTTTAGGCATTTCAAATCTGAACATATATTTTTCCATAGCTTTATCTAGTCTGTTCTTGAACGCGTTCATACTTGGAATCGTGTAGAACAATTTTGATTCGATTTTGGCTAAAGCCCTTATGTTGTATAGTTCCGTCTTACTGTTAGGCTCCTCGCTCCTTGAGTCATAAAGCTGAGTTGTCTCAGTTATGCTAACAACAGGCCGGAGAGAGTGTCTGTCATCAAGCTTGACATCATAATGGAATTCACAAATCTGTTCGAGAGAAATACGCACTTCAAAAGGAAATGAATTATTCACGATTTGTGGAATGAAATTTGAATTGGGAGCATGTTGACCCATGGTCAGTCTTGTCATTCAGGCAATACTATTTCATTTATTCAAAACCAGAATCAAACAAAAGATATGTATTTTCCCAGGAAGCTAAAGTATTCAACTAAGAAGGCGTTCACTACAAAAACCTAAGAGACCACAATATGTTTAATTATAAAAAAATATATCTCAGTACTCACTGAAGTGAGTGAAAGAGTGCATTTTCTCGTCGACGAAAACGTGAAGTCACGGACGGACAGACAGACAGACGGACGGACAGACAGACGGACGGACATGGAGGGCACAATATAGCGCCTTTATTTTCCATAAATGATAAAATGCGCTAATAAAACATCTCCGTACATTTTTTATAATGAAGCTTTTTAAATGTGCAGGTTCGATGCTGTCGATAGTGCAGGTGTTTCTAGGGGTGGTGGCCGGCAACGTCCTGCATCACCACAAGGAGCACAAGCAGCGGCTGGTGAGGTGGCTTGTCTGGGGCGCTGTTACCGGGGCCCTCGGCGCGGTGCTGTGCTACGCAGGACAGCAGGACGCGCCTGTTCCTGTCAACAAGAACTTGTGGTGAGATTTCTGTCTATAAGAACTTGTGGTGATAACAAGAACTTGTGGTGAGATTTCTGTCAATGAGAACTTGTGGTGATAACAAGAACTTGAGGTGAAGTCAACAAGAACTTGTGGTGATATTTCCCTCTGGTGGTAGTGTGTAGCTTGTGTCCGACCGATAAGTTCTTACAGATTTTGGGACAAGTCACATTGTTTCACTTTTTACCAGAAATTGCGCAAAACTTATGTTTATTTCATGTAAAATGTGTACTGCTCCCCTATATACATAAACGGTCCATGTCTTCATCTCGCTACAGTCTCTTTCTGTAATTGACATCTCTTTTATTTCTGCGGATACTATAGTTTAAATCATAAGGTTTATGCTACGCTCTATTCGCGTTAATTTGTTGCTTAGGTTGTGTCCGACTAACGTTTATGAAGACTTATAATATCTTCATACAATTGCACACGAAACAGGCCTCAAATATGTATGATCTAATGAGACCAGGGCCCATACTTTAAAAAAAAAGTTGAGTGATCGTAAGTTCATCAGCCAATCATTGAAGGCCTTTCAAGCAAAATCCACCAATCATAGACAAGAAATAGAGCGTAAGTACTTACGTTCACTTAGCGAGTTTTGAAGTATGGCCCCTGATGCCATAAGCTTGTTTGTTGTGCACAGGTCGCTCTCCTACGTCCTGGTGACATCCTGCTTCGCCTTCTTGCTGCTCTGTCTGAGCTACCTTCTGGTGGACGTGTGGCGGCTGTGGAGTGGTGCTCCGCTCTACCAAGCAGGTTAGTGCAGTGCTCTACCAAGCAGGTTAGTGCAGTGCTCTACCAAGCCGGTTAGTGCAGTGCTCTACCAAGCTGGTTAGTGCAGTGCTCTACCAAGCTAATTAGTGCAGTGATGCTTTACCATGCTGGTTAGTACAGTACTGCTATATCAAGCTGGATAGTACAGTGCTCTACCAAGCAGGTTAGTGCATAGCTTCTCTATCAAGCTGGCTAGTGCAGTGCTGCTATATCAAGCTTGTTAGTACAGTGTTCTACCAAGCTGGTTTGTGCAGTGTTGCTCTACCAAGCTGGTTAGTGCAGTGCTCTACCAAGCTGGTTAGTGCAGTGCTGCTCCGAATCAATATTACAATTTCTAAAATATTTTCTGCTAACACTATCCCTTTTTGAAAAAAATAATTCATCTGTCATGATACATCTCAATTTTTTTATGTACCTGTACTGCCAATGCCACATTATTCGCCTCTGCAGCTACTACTGCACTTAATTCATCGCTCGTCAATAAAACTGCATAATATTGGTCAAAATCGCGACCTGCAAAGTTCGATTGCCACATATTAACCAAGAAATTTTTCGATCACCCTAGAAAGTCTAGGCTCTGATTTTTAACATAATAGATCGTTTCTTTTTAAGGCCGTCGATGTTAGAGCTATTGCGAAGTTAGTGACATTAACGGTAGTTGCTGCCGCCCCAATACGTGAAATTTTCTTCAGAATAAACATTTTTCGCTTCTTTATATTTAGTTATATACCAGGCGCGAGCTCGTTCACAACTTTACGTACTCCATCCCCAACAGGAATGAACAGCATTTTCCTGTACGTCGGCCACATGGTTACGTACAACCTGTTCCCCTGGCACTACATCATAGGACCCATGAGAACCCACGCCGCCTTGCTCGCTGAGTGTTTGTGGGGCACCACGCTGTGGGTGCTAACTGCTCTCTACCTGCACAGCAAAGGAAGATTCTACACTGTCTAGCAAGCACATTAACTGCTCTGTACCTGCACAGCAAAGGAAGATTCTACACCGTCTAGCAAGCACATTAACTGCTCTCTACCTGCACAGCAAAGGAAGAATCTACACTGTCTAGCCAACACATTACAATAAACGCGTTTTATATTCATCAAAATTTTGACACATTTAACTGCTCTGTACTTACACAGCAAACAAAGATTCTATACTATCTGGCTAGCACATTAAAATAAAGGCGTCTTATATATCCAAATTATGACACACTTTCATAGTAATAACACGAGCCTAAAGCGAGCGTATAACTGTCTACACACGTTGACGTGTTAGACTTTAGGCACACTTTCTTTTTAGGCACACTTTCTTAGTAATAACACGAGCCTAAAGCGAGCGTATAACTGTCTGCACACGTTGACGTGTCAGACTGGGCCAGGTTTACCCACATGAGTCTTAGTTCATGTAAACTTGGACAAAGTCTCAAGCATTTCAATGAGTGGGCGGGTTGCTTTGATCATCCTATACTCGGTTGTGACTGGACACATGCACACACACTAACAAATTATAGCTTAAGGTATCGTGAGTCTACCAGGAAATTATAGTTACATTCTAAATTGGGCTTGTCAACATCAAATTCAGAGCAAGAAATGATATTTTATTCAGACCGCCATGCACGTTTTGCACTTGTGTGGGTCATTCTGACCCAGTTTGGCCCGGCTAAAGGGCGTGTCAGTACAAATTCTGCTCTCTGCACGTGTTGCTGGTACGAAAGTGTCAATATTTGGGCATTTAAAGCCATTCCATTTTCTGGGTGCGGACGTGTAATATTGAATACATCTTACATGTATCCATGATCTTGAGATTATTTAGTGAAACTTGACCATATCTCCCTCCTACCTGAATCCATGTATCCATGTATACCTGAATCCTTCTTATTTGAATAAACGTCTACATGGATTCAGTTATCCATGAATAACTGAACACCTCTTACCTGTATCCATGATCTTGAGATTATTTAATAGCGGTTTCAGCGTTTATTAGGCCGTAGGCCTGTCGCCAATTCTTAACATTGCAGAACATTCACAGCATTATGCGGTCTCGAACTCGCAACTCACTGCTACAATTCTGCTGTGCTTAACCGCCCGGCCTTCTCGCCGATTCTGACCAGAAACTGACGCACAGAGCTGGGATCGAACCCGCGCCTCTCTGCGCCAGTCCTGATACTCTGAACTTTTAACCACTAGGCCACCCATAACTATACCATATGAAGCTTTGGTGCGATTAATTTAAAAGCTTACGAAAAAAAAACAGAATTTACGTTCTAGAATTTTAATTATACTAAGTAAGAAGTAAACTCTTAATTGTGCCATTTGTTTCTAATATGTATTCATAGGAATAAATATAAGCGCACACAGTAAAAATAGAGTGGAAACACATTTTGAGTTCGAAAATGTTATAACTGCTATTCCAAAACATATTCTATTTTAACTCCCTATATGTTCGGCCCGCATCACTTGAATGGATATTAGACCGCGGTCGTTTTCACGTGTCTTTGTTAAAAGTTTCGCCTCTCAATTCAAGCGTACTTAGTTAGCTTGAATGCAGCTATGCAGGAGCATATGTTCAGTCTTAAAATGCCTAGCAAATTACGGACCAGGCAATAAGTCCAGCAGCTATCTCAATCAATCGTCAGCTATGGAAAGATCGGGTTCCAAAGGCCGGATCCCTTGTGAATCAAGTCACGAAAAGTTCAAGAATCGGCAACAGGCCATGGGCCTATTTCTTCAGCGCCGACACTTCTATTCTATTCTATTACTTCGAGGACTTTGTTTTGTACTGTACCAAGTACAGTATTGATGATAAAGTTCCTTAATGCTTCGGATATTTTTTCCTTGTACATGTTGAAACCGATCGTAAATGCCGACTTACTGTCAATCAATAGCTCTGTCATAAATTATAATCATAATATTGAAAAAATCCAAGAAAATGCCATAAAGAATATTGATTTTGTACATTGCTGAATTGTATAAAAATGACCTATGATCTATCCCGAATTAAATGGTTTGACTTTCGTGTGATAAGAAATATTTTTGTAGAGCCACAGATGATTTTAAGAGTCAAGCAGGGCTCTCTGTTTTAAAAACTTTCTACACAAGCATTGTAACATGATTCAGAAAAATTGAAATGTTTTTATACTGTATAAAAATATTAATTGTAATCGATGTTAACAATGACAAGCTTGACCTCTCTAATTAAACTTCGTCTCTTTGTATCTCAATTAATATTTTACTGCATTTTTAAAACACTTCTTTTTAACTTCACTTCTTGTTGTTTGTTTGTCTGCTGCAAATCTTATAATCGACATTTAACACACTTCTACCTGTCCAGTCGATCTGAAATTTTGCAAACTTGAGTAAAATCGGAAACAATGCTTGAATCAATTGACATAATTAAAAAAAATAAAAAAATAAATCCTAGAAGTCAAAAAATATATTTTTTAATTGTTTGCGAATAAAATTTTAGAAATTAAAAAAAATTAATTGTACATGTGTAATAACGTAGACACTGGCCTCTTTAAAACTGTTGTCTTTAAATAGTAATTTTTAAACGCATATTATTACATCACGTTCTTTCCACTTTGAGGGTAACTAGCGCGATGTTTGCGAGCTTCACGCAGTATTACTGCGGTTATTATCTCACCGACATATAGCTGTTCTCAACAATGCGCCATGCAAGTCACTGTCAAGATGTCACTGAGTCAAGATGGTGGAAAAACTTTCTGGAATGCTGGAACCTTGCTGGAATGACTAAAGCTTCTACAGAATAGGTGGTAGAGGTTTGAAGTAACAAATCCTTCTATTGGGTTCAGAGTAATCATGGAAATTAGTAAAGGGCTTGTAAAGAAAATGAATGGTAACAATGAGTTACGAGATTCATGGTTATAATTGCACTATAGACGACTCCTGGAAAATTGAAACTTCGAATGTAAATAATGAATATATAACCATTATAAAAACTGAAGTGAATTAACGTCCGGTTGTACTTCAAATGTCACGCGAGATTGTAGATGAAACTTCGTTCCTCTCCCCCCTCTACCGCCCCCACTTGCATGGCAGCCTGAGTAGCCTGATAAGCTGGCTGCTAGTTGTGTTGTCAGTGTGTGTCAGCTGTCGGGCTATCGTCATTTGTTGATGTTGCCTTTGACGTTCAACTAGAGTCATAGTGGCAAAGCAGAGAGTTTTTTAGACTCTTCCTCAAGTTCATATTTGAGTCCTATAAGTAGACCAGTAAAGTATCTTGGATACCAGAATTATCATACATAAGAAATCTGTTAAAATCTTGAGTAAATGAGGAAATTAAAAATTAACCGATTCTAAAAAATCACTGGTTTGCCACTATGACTAGAGTTGTGCAATCAACTATATTTCGGCGTTATTCATCTGTCAATTTGATGTGTTGAATATTTGATTAATATACTTGTACAATCATGGTGGCAATCCATAGGTTATTCAAAAGAACCTGTTCTTATGTCATTTTGAACCGATCAACGCTTCTTTACGGACCGATCGTAAAACACCTTCACCGGCAAAAGCTTTTGCACTTCTGAAGAAAGTCAGCTGACAGCTACACTGGCCGTGGGGCGTGGTGGACCGAATTTGAATTTGAATGCATCCACTTGAAATCCTATCGACTCATTCGACTGTATAGTATACAACTTACAAGTCATAGAGCCTAAATTTTAAATATCTCTAAAAAAATTTACGTTTCTGCATGTATTATAATGCTGTTAACATTAGCAAACTTTGAATTATCTCTGATGCAAGAAATACTTGCTTAAATCATTTTATTTTCAATATAAGCGACTGGATGCAACAATCGGTTCGCAACAAGGAACATAGCCTTGACAGCAGT